GGGCAGTCCTCATGTCCCCAAGGTCATCCCCATGAACATCTCCATGCCCTCAAGGTTGTCCCCATGGCCCCACAGATACCCCAAGGTTGTCCCCATGGACATCTTCAAGGCCCCAAGGTTCTCCCAGTGTCCCCACGGATGTCCCCACGTGCAGACACAGGGCGGGAAGGGGTCACGGAGGTTTATTGGGGTGGGGGATGTCCCCAAGGTCCCCGAGCTGTCACTTGTAGAACTCGTGCTCCTGCTCGTCCTTCTTGATGACCGTCTTGTAGGCCTTCTCAAAGTCCTTGGCCAACACAATGTACCGGTTCTCCCGCACCGCCAGCATGCCGCCCTGGGGACAGGCCACCGCGTCACCCAGGCCACCTCCAGCCACCCCCACCACCCTGGGGACAGGCCACCGCACCACCCAGGCCACCTCCACCACCAGGTCACCCCCATGACCACGTCGCCCATCTCAACACGGAGTCGTGTGACACCTGTGTCACCTTCTCGACACCCTACCGTGGGGGGACATGCCACCTCTGTCACCTCATCACCCCACCATGAGGAACACACCACCCGTGTCCTCTCCTCATCACCCTGCCAGGCTGGGACGTGTCCCCGAGTCACCCACCTCCTGGCAGATGGAGTTGATGTCGGCCCCCGAGATCTTGTCTGGCCGCGCCACGTCTGGGTGGGGGTCAAGGAAGTGTCCCCTCCTTGATGGTCCCTCCCTGATGCCCCCAAGCCACCCCCAGCCCACTCCGGGGGTCCCTGATCCCTGTGGGGTCACCATGACATCTCCCTGGGGTTCCTGGTGTCCCTGTGGGGTCACCCTGACATCTCTTCAGGGTTCCTCATGTTCCCATGGGGTCCCCAACCTTGACATCTCCGTGGGGTTCCTGACGTCCCTGTGGGGTCACCCTGACATGTCCCTGGGGTTCCTGATGTCCCCACAGGGTCCCCAACCCTGATGTCTCCTTGGGGTTCCTGATGTTCCTCAAAGTCCCTGGTGTCCCCATGGAGTCCCCAACCCTCACATCTCTTTTGGGTTCCTGGTGTCCCCATGGCATCTCCAACTCTGACATCTCCCTGGGGTTCCTGGTGTCCCTATGGGGTCCCCAACCCTGATGTCTCCCTAGGGTTCCTGATGTTCCTCAAAGTCCCTGGTGTCCCCATGGAGTCCCCAACCCTCACATCTCCCTGGGGTTCCTGGTGTCCCTGTGGGGTCCCCAACCTTGACATGTCCCTGGGGTTCCTCATGTCCCCATGGGGTCCCCAAACCCTCACACTCCCCATTTCCCCCTCTGCCACCCCGGTGTCCCGTGTTCCCAGATACAGTCCTCGAGGTCCACCTCCTCGGACAGGTTCATCTTGCCGGTGATGGTGGAGAAGATGAGACGTTTCTGGCGGCGGTCAGGCAGCGGGAACTCGATCTTACGGTCCAGCCGGCCAGGACGCAGCAGCGCTGGGTCCAAGGTGTCCGCCCGGTTGGTGGCCATGATCACCTGGGTGGGGGTGGACGGGTCGTGGGCGTCACCATGACCGCATGGCACCCATGGGACATCCCCAGCACCCAGGGGACCCTCACCTTGACGTTGACGTTCTGGTCGAAGCCGTCCATCTGGTTGAGGAGCTCCAGGAGGATGCGCTGAACCTCCCGGTCGGCTGCGGTGGGACAGGGGAGACATCGTGGTGGGTGGGTGCTCAGGCCCAAAGGACGCCCCCAGCACCCATCCAGGCTCCGAGGACCACCAAGAGGTCCTGGAACCCCACCATGAAGTTCTGCAGAGGGTTCCTGACCCCCACCCAAGCTCCAAAGACCACTAAGGGGTCTTGGAACCTCACCACAGGGTTCTCCAGAAGGTTCTCGACCCCCACCCAAGCTCTGAGGACCAGCAAGGGGTCCTGGAATCCCACCATGGAGTTCTCATGAGGGTTCCTAAGCCCCACCCAAGGACCACCAAGGGGTCCTGGAACCTCACCACAGGGTTCTCCAGAAGGTTCCCGATCCCCACCCAAGTTCCGAGGACCACCAATGGGTCCCAGAATCCCACCACGAGGTTCTGCAAAGGGTTCCTGACCCCACCCAAGCTCCCAAGGACCACCAAGAGGTCCTGGAACCCCTCCATGGAGTTCTCCAGAGGGATCCTTACCTCCACCCAAGGACCACCAAAAGGTCCTGGAACGCCACCATGGAGTTCTGCAGAGGGTTCCTGACCCTCACCCAAGCTCTAAGGACCACCAAGGGGTCCCAGAACCCCACCGGGGGGTTCTCGAGGGTTCCCCACGTCCCCTCACCTCCAGTCTGGGCGTCGAAGCGCTTGGTGGCAATGGCGTCGATCTCGTCGATGAAGATGATGGCGGGCGCGTTCTCCTTGGCCAGGCGGAAGACGTCGCGCACCATGCGGGGACCCTCCCCCAGGTACTTCTGCACGAACTCCGAGCCCACCACGCGGATGAAGGCGGCTGGGGGCACCCCCAGGGGCTGGCACCTCGTGTCTGGCCAGGGGCGCCCCTGGGAGCACCCTCGGACCTCCCTGGCCA